ATAGATACATAGATAGATACATAGATAGATACATAGATAGATACATAGATACAGAGTTATGTGTAAAGNAGATAGATAGATAGATAGATGATAGATAGATAGATAGATAGATGATAGATAGATAGATAGATACATACATACATACATACAGAGTTATGTGTAAAATGCAGGCTTTTTCTTATTTCCTCACTTTAGAACTTAATTGTACCTTACCGTGCTCAGTTCTCCCTGTGTGCCTTCAGGAGCTCCTCTCTGGCTTGTTTCTCCTCAGGCCAGCGTTGGTCTTCATGTGACCTCAGGAGAGTGTTTGAGATCCGCTGTCACAAAGCCCCAGGTGCTGGTAGGAATGGCGGCGTGCTATGAGCGTGTTATGTGACTGAGTAAAGGATGTGGAGAGACGATGGAAGAGATAGTGGTTTTAGATTTCTCTAAAAAAATGAATAAAGATACCTCTCTTCTATTAAATTTGGATGTCTAAAGGTAGTAAAAAAGCACCCTTATCAAGGACTGCAGTTTGTTTTTTATTGTTATTGTTAAAGTTACAGCTATGATATTAGAGCTCCTCAGAGAGACTCCATAATCAACATTGGTCAAAAATGTCAGCTCTGATAGGGATTTCCAAGATTATCTAAGCAGATGGTATCTACAATCCAATCCAGTATGATTCTTTTTTTCTAAAGCATCACCCTCGTTAGGAAATGTTTGCGATCCTGCCAATGATGAGGTCTGAGAGTTTGCGAACCTCAAACCCTCCTATTATTCAAAGAGCAAGTATCTGTTCTAAATTATTAAGGTGTAATAACCAACTCCACCATTGTGAAAGTTTATAAACAGCCAAGGACCACATATCCCCCTATTAATGAGGTTGTTCAATCTCTTGGAACATCAGTGAAACATGAAGAGATTCCGGTGCCCAAGAAATGGAGGCTTTGGTGGAAAGCAGGGCTGTGTCTGTGTGTCTGACTTGACCAGGGCCAAGGGGCAGTGTGGGAGGAGAGAGGCCAAGCTTAATAGTGAAAGAAAATATCCAAAGAGTCTCCATCCCACTTAATTTTTGAAGGCCTAAGCCATGTTAGATCTAGGACTGCCTTAGAAAACAAGTTCATTAGTGTCAGAGAAAACCCAACACGAACTATAAAACAAACAAAAACAGAAATCACAGTGTCTTACCTACCAAACCTTAGCATGTGGGTTCCATTTCTGGAGGAGATAACATTTTCTTCTTTCAATCTGTATGTGTGTGTGTGTGTGTATATATATATATACATATACACACACACACACACACATATATATATACTTTTTTTTTTTTTAAGGAAAAGTTAAGGTTCAGTTCCTATATCTGACAACCTGGACAGGATTTATCAACTGCTTAAGACACACCCAAATACCTTGTGGACACATTTAAAAAGAAAATAGATACAGATCCGACTCTTGAGTTTCTGCCTAAACTCGAATATTGAAAAAGAATTATATATTCACTAAGAATCTTACTGGGGGTTTTTGTTTGTTTGTTTGATTTTTGTTTAAAATATTACAGATGTCCCTTTTTCTCCCCAATGACCCCTTCCACCCCATCCCTTCCCCCTCCCCAGTC